GAGCCAGTCTTAAGTACTTTTAATCACTGAATTTCATATAAAACCATGTGCAAGAGCCTAATACTGAGGGGAAAAGGAAAGGGGCTATGGGAGAGGAGAAATCTAGTTCCACTGGGATTTTGGATGGGAGTTGCTTAGCATTTTTATAAGAACCTTTCAGGAATTAATGAAAACCATTTAAGCAAACATGTAAATATGTTTGCCAAGTTGTATGACAACTGTGACCTGTGAATCTTATCATGCATCCCCACAGCTCAATATGAGCTAAAGGGGTAGTCAGTATGTTGCTGCTCTTTCCCTCCACAGACAGCTGTCACACCTGCTTTGCAGGCTACTCAGTTACTGTGCCCAGTCCCTTTGCCCAAAGGGATCTGTGGGAGGGAAAAACAAGTCACCACAGCAGTATCAGAGATGAAGGAAGAGTGAGCCACTTCCGTTCCCCTTTCTCAAAATATCCAGCTGTATCCAAGTTTCTGCCAAATCAGTTTTTGCTCAACATCCCAGTGCCCTAAGCTGAGCTCTACTGCTCACTTTCACAGCTAGGAGGCTGTGGATTACATCTCCTCTGTGTCTGCCCCTTTGCCATTTCCCTGGGCAGATATGTTGAGCCTCTGCAGATATTCACAGGCATAGGCAGTTGCCCAGAATTCTGCAAATAGCTGTGTTCTATATTTGCATATAATGCTGTGTATGAACTGAAACCTGCTTGTCATTAATCAAGGGTTTTAGTGAGCTAGAGTTTTTCACTGAGATTTTTGCTGAGCCTGGACTTCAACATTTTCACACTTGCAGATTGCACTTAAAAAACCTGACTGCCAGCATCTGTCTGATAAATAGTTGTTCAAAAGTGTAACAAATGCCAAACAACACTTTCTTGTTTTAGTTGGTGTTAGAAATGGATGTGGGAGAAGGATAGAGAGGGGCTTTTTAGAAGTATTAGTCTTACTCAGCAGAAGGTGAAATACCCATACTTCAGCAGCCTGTTTCACAACTGCTTCCTAAAGCACATGGAAACACTTGGGACTGATTCTGCCAACTCTGCTCATTCAAAATAGAACTTTATCAGAAATCAGCTAGAGTCTTCATGGTGCTATTCTGCGTAAATCAGGTTTTACTGGTTAACAATAAAAAAGCAAAATTGCTAGTGAACAAGAAACTACAACCATAAATTAAAGAACTGAATCTGCATTAAGAAATTAAGACCAAAAACAAATTCAAAGATTCTGTGAGTGAAAGGGCAAATTTTATTTTGAATTAATGAATGTATGAATCAATGAAAAGACACTACCAGAAAATTGGCTCTTTCAAGACACATCTTCAAGCCCAGAGCTAGTGAGAACTAATGAGCAGAGGCAGTTCTATGGAGGGGACAGGAACACCGATTTGCTGAGATGAAGTACTGAGTATTTCATATAGAAATGCAAAAAGTAACTTCTGGACTGAAAGAAATCCTCTTATGAATGGTGACTGCCTATATGTATAGCTGTTGAGGTGCACTGGAAGCATGTTTTGGCCCATAAGGTGGCTGTGTTGCATTTTGAAGTAGCTTTCAGGTTGGAGAATTGTTAACAAATAATCCCATGTGGGCCTATTCCACTGCAGCTGCACCAGAGTTAGCAACAATGGGAACCTTAGTATAAACAGCTTTCAGCTCCAGCAGCCATTTTCAGCACTGTATCAGTTAACCCTGCTCTGAGGAGGGTTAATTGACACAGTGCTGCAAATGTCTGACTAGATGAAAACTCATATATTATGCCTCCCAACATCTCTAACAATTGTGCAGCTGCATTCATATTGGCAATGGTGGGAATTTGGAGGAGGGAAGAAAATTCCCCAGTGCAGGCAAGGCCTGAGAGTGAGCCTTAATGTTCTTCTCTGGGTCTTGTTTGTCAGTCACAGTCATGCTTCCCTAAAGCATTCTCCCAGCCATCTCCAGGTTGCTGATTATGAAGCAGACCACTGTTGGTCCCACCAGCTAGATGATAAGAGTGGAAGAGTGGTGATTTCACCTTGGCCCATCTGATAGGTGCACTCAAGTTTCCTCTCTCTTCTGTCTTGCATCCCCAAAGACCAGAGAGAGCCAATTCAAAAAGAACAAGGGAAAACAAAAGTTAACTTTTCCCAGAAATACAATGCTTGCAAAATGTACTTCTCCTGTGAGGACTGTTTCTCTAGAAGCAGAGTATTAGGATTCCCAGCTCGCTGAGTACCCAGTGTAGCCTTTGAGTACACAAATATCTTTGGCTGCTCTGGTTGGCCACAAAAGTGAAATACCCAACCGATTTACAACCCCTCTAGACATGGCAATCTCTAGCACTGGTAGACCAAGGCTGTTCCTCTAAGGAGCTTTCTGAGGCAGTGTAGAGCTGTAAGCTCCTTGAAGAGCTGAGGAAATGAGCAGAAAAATCCTTGTAAATTTTACCATCTGCTCTCCCACCGTGGCCAGAGACCTTTCAAAGTTAAAATATTGCTGCTCTCCCTGAGCTAAGGTCTTAAACTTACTATCACTACCACTTTTGAGTATCTTATACTCCATGAGAACTAGGGTGGAGAAAACATGACCTCCTTGAGCAGAACAGAGAGGTGCCGTGATTCTTTGCACTCTTACACACATGGTGAGCAAGCACTGTAAAGTTGGTGACAAACTTTCTGTCACACAGTCTGCATCACAGACCTTCAGGGAAATGTTATAACTTGGAAAAAAAATGTCCTCTCCTTGTGTAAAGAACTGCCAGTTGAGACCATCTAAGCCCACAGAATTCCACTAGTGGAAGTCAGTTATACTTACGTATGGGTTATGTTAGGTTGCTATCTATAGGTGTCATCTCCCCATGACCATGCACAGCATGAGCCTGTTGATTTATAGGCTGTGATTCTTCGGCCTCCACGGACTTTTGAGAAAGGAGGTGATGAAAAAGTGAGCAAGGAAAGCCATTTATTGGTGCTATTTATAAGCTCCAAGGCCTATTTAACCTGTAATTTTCCGTCTTCCTAAAAGATACTTTCCTGCAATGTTGGGTTCTTTGTTCTGATGCAAAATATTATTGTTGCTGTTAGAATACACAATTGAAAAAATCATCTCAGAACAGAGACAATTAACCCTCTACAAGCCACCACACTGACTACAGAATAACAAATGGCCTCCAAGTGTTCTGGGCTAGGTAATAAAATCTGCACCTTATTTTTCACTGTCTTCTTCTTAATCTTCTAGGAAGTTCCTCTAATTTCTTTGGAAATTTCCTGAGTTTTTAAACCCGTGGAGAGTGAAACCAGGCCTTATTTTATGCCTATAAATTTCCTATTTTATTATGAATGCTTTTGGGGTGGAAAAGAAAAAAAAACCACTGACAATTAATACTTTTGTTGATAGACCAAAGCTTAAATCTCAGACCAAAGCTGGTGGAAAGTAGGTCACCTCTACTCCACTGACTTTGCAGGATTCCCTCAAATTAATTATACAGTTGTATTCACTGGTGTTTGCACGGAATATAGTGCAAATATAGTTATACTGTCAGAAAACAGATTGGAACAGTGGAAGGAACAGCTACCACATCTTTTTTGGAAAAAAACCTGGGATAAAACCAAGAGCTGTTTCTGGCTCCTCAGCTTCTACCAGCCACTTGAGGAAACCGGGCTTTCTGGGTTCTGGATATCATGTTGTTTACCTCTGTTAAAATACTCAGAATATACATGACGTAAACCCAAGGTCTTTTATTAGTCTAGACAGCTTTGTATCTCCAGAGCTGCCATCAGGAGTATCACATTGGTCTAATCTAAGGACTTTTGGTTAAGGAGGTAATCAGGACAATTTCAAATAAATGAAAGACCCATCACGGTTTAGATCTTGGATACATAATTCTTATGATGGTGCATCGGCTGGCAGATTTTAGAAAGACCCAAACTCTTGTGCTGGGCACAGTGCAAGCGTCAAGACCTTTTTTGTCTGGAGCAGCTTTCAAACAGTGAGTTTAGGAACACTGCTTCCATATGAAGATTATTTGTTTATAACTGTATGTAAAAAATCTTTGGACTACAGTATAGTTACTAAAACTACTGAAAGGAAGACTAGTAGAACTATTAGTAGCCCATATAGAATGACTGTGCGGAGATGGCCATTTTGGAGCTACAGACTATTACCAATTTCATGTACCACTTTCTTTCAGAGAAACGAATACATGAATATGCTTTAAAGAGATTAATGGATGTTATAGAAGTTATGTGCTGCTACACTTTAAACTATAGATTTCACAGCCTCCGCTTGGAATCCTGATCTCATACAGCAGCTTATCATTTGATATCCAGAATAGATGTAGGGCCCTGTGGATTGCTTCATGGTGTGATGGTAACTGAGTATTGTACGAAGTGTAGTTGGGACTACAAGACTTTTCTTACAGCTATTACATTGAACAGGTGGACTGTGTCTATCTTCCATAGCTGGTTGCTTTTGGGGATGGGAGGGAAGCGGGCTTTGGGAGCCTTATGATTCGATTAAGAACACTTTGGGAATATTTTCAGCCTTAAGAAGTATTCTAGGATTACTCTTTCTTTAGCCCATCTGTCTGTAGTGTACTTTTTCTATTCCTCAGAAAACAGCTGTTTCCTCAGTGCAGCCCTTGCTGGTCAATGACTGTGTATGTTTTACTGTAATAACTTTTTGCCTGAGTATGTTATTTATCTATAGACTTAAGAATTTATAAGGTATCAAGACAACTGGCTGTATTTCGATAGCCAGTACAAGGAGCGTTGCAGCAGTATCTCTGCCCTCTTCAGTATTATATACGATAATGCAACTTTTTATTTCCTTCTGAGGACTCTCCTGTGCTCGTCCACCTCTGAGTAGGGGAGGAAGGATGCGATCTGACCTTGAGGGATGTATGGGACTGGAGGAAATGCCCAAGGTGCCCATGAAGCCCAGGTCCGACCGTTTTCTTTGGGGGACGCACAGACAGCGTGGTCCTCCCTGGCCTTTGTGGCCGTCTGCTTATGCCACAGAGAAGGGGCGCCTACGCATGGCTTGCACGGGAGAGGACCTAACATCGGCGGAGAGAGAGGGCTGCTGGACACCCTGCTTACCGCGTCTGTGAAGAGGTACCGCCTGCAGCCCCGCCGTGCTTATGGGAAAAACTACTTATGGGGCAGGGCACTCCGCAAGAGGTCATTCCCCGTTCCGTCATCCTCCCGACAGGACAGGTTCGACCCGCTGTCGGGTTACACCGCCCACATCTTACCCCGGCGCGGCCGTCTCGGGAGGCGCCGAGCCTGTGCCGCAATAGCAGCGCCTTCCTGGCAGCCGCACCGGCGGGAGGGGGCCCCGCTGCCCGGGGCCGAGCCCGGCGGGCGCGTCCCCGGGCCGGCCCCGGCGCGGCCGCCTTTGTTCCGCAGGGCCCCACGTGCAGCGGCGGCCGCGTTGTGTGCGGTGTGTGCGGTGTGTGCGGGGCGGCAGAACCCCCCCGCGCCGGGACCCCGGGCTGGCCCTTTAAACCTGCCGTGGCGGCGCGGCCAGGCCGGTGCGGGACACGTGAGGCGGCGGCGCGTTCTGCCGCCGCTGCCCCGGCTGCCGTGCTGCTCGTGTTTTATCTGGCCGGCCGCCAGGCCCCCATCGCCGGGTTTTCTCTCTGCCTCCTCCTTTTTTTTTTTTTTTTTTTTTCCCCGCACAGCCCCCTCCTGGTTTTTCCACCCACGGGTAAAAGTGGCTTTTCTTTTCCTCCTTTTTTTTTTTCTTTTAACCCTCATCCTAGTTTAGTCCGTGGGCAGGACTCGCATAATAATATTTCCAGTCTCAGCAACTCGCATCACAGACACGAACTCAGGACCGCCCCCCCCCTTTTTTTTCCTCCCAATCTCCCAAATCGTTTTATTATTATTTTTTAAGTGATCGCTCCTTTTGCGCGCTGCTCCTGCTGCTGCCGAAATCCCCATCTTCCCAGGGTGCATGCTTTTGGCAAGATTGTGCAGTGTTCTCAGTCCATTTTCAGTGTGTCTTATCTTAATTTGTCCTGATCCGATCTAAGCGCGATAGCCACCACTTGCTTTCAATTTGTTGGATTTTTCCCCCCTTCTTGGTTTGCTCCCGACTACCCTCGGAGTATTTCCCTCTCTCATTCTATTTCCAGGGTTGCAACTTACTCTGCCTTTTCTTCCTTTTTTTTTCCTCCCCTCTTTTGAATTGCTTCATGTTACTAATCATTCCTAAATTGTAAGAGAGATTAATTCCCCCTCCTCTTCCACCACCACCAGCACCACTACCACCATCACCTCCTCCTCCTCCTCCTTCTCCCCTTCTCTTCTCCTTTTTGGCAGCACCAGGACGTCCGGTGTGGTGGTGGCAGCGAGCAGCAAAAGCAGCAAGAGCTCGTTTTGATTCCTCCCCTTCCAAGGTGCTTTGGAGAGACTGGTTTCAGGCTGAGCAGCAGAAATCACGATGAGTGCACAAGGTGAGGGACCCGGTCAGCCTTCCACTGCTGCCCAGGATCAACCTGCAACCGCAGAGCTTCAGAAGAGAGGACGAGGCAGACCCAGGAAACAAACAGAAGTCAGTATCGTATAAAAACGTAGAGACGTAGATCTGTAGTGTTGTAGGCATGTTCATGTACGTATTGTGCTGCAAATGAAGCAGTCCTGGCGACGGGGTGGGGGGCTTTGTTGTGTGCTGCTTCCCGGCGAGGTGGTGCAGAGGCGTAGCGAGGGGCTCCGCCGGGCGCTCTGGCGGGGAGACCCTGGGGCCCGAAGCGGCGAGGCGCTGCCTGCTCGTGGCTGAGCCTCGGAGCCTCCTCGGGACTTTCACTATTGTGCAGGGAGCGAGCTGGGGCTTTTCAATGTAAATGGGGAACATGGAGCAGCGCGGCTCCGACCAACCAGCGTTCGCTGGGTCATTTCGAGCTGATTTTGAAATTGCGAAAGCGAGGAGCAAGGAACGGGGCTCTCCTGTCCCTTCTCTCTCAGCCCTCGCAATAGCTCAGTCCGTGCGTGTGTGTGCGTGCATGTGCGTGTGTCGGGTCCCACCGGGCGCTGCTGCCGCCTCCGATCTTGACCAGCCCAGCCCCTGACTGCCCCTAGATCCTGGGGCTGGGGGGAGAGGAGGGTGTCTAGAAAGTCGCATAGGTTTTTTCGCCTCCCCCCCCGCCCCCCGGCTTTCCCCCCTTCCTCATCTCCCTCCCTCGCCCCGTCATCGTATGCAGAGGTGCCCCCGTTGTCGATGGAGGTGGGGGAAGTAGCCGGAGGAGGCTTACCCTGCTTTTGCAACACCTTTTGCCTTTGCTTCGGCGCTTTTGCAGGCAGGTCGAGGCGACGGGAACGCTTGTCGGGTGTCTGGGTGCGGGGAGCTCCTTCCCACCCGCACCTACAGCCTCCTCCCGGGCCCCGAAAGGGACGCGTTGGGTTTCTCTTTTTGACTTGCAAGACCTGAATCCACGCTAAGGTTGCTAGATCCGTGCATTATTCCCACACCCCTCTCCCCCCCACCACCTTCCCTTCCTTTCCCGAAGTACCATTGTCGCATCGTTTGGAGCTGCCGGGCCGCGCTCAGCCCCCCGCCGCGGGGTGAGGGGCCCGGCGGGAGCCTCCGCGCTCTGCAGCCCCTCCGGCGGCGCCGCCGAAGGGGGATTTTGCCTGCGGATGCAACCAATTAATTCCCGCAGCTCGGCGGGAGCAGCGCGAAGCCGCCTGCAGCCTTTTCCCTGCCTCTCTCGGAAGTCACGATTGAGGAGTAGGGCTGTCCACGGAGCTCATTTTAAAGCGAGCTTCCGCGGGCTTTAAACATGTTTACTCCCATTCATTTGGCATCAGCCCCACTGCCACGAGAACCTTCGAGGAGCTCTAAGCACGGAGGGAGCTGAGGAGCAGAGCCGGTAGCCGGGGGAAACCGTCTGCTTTACTTCCCCCCACCCCCCATCCCCCGCTCCGATATGGTCCTGTAAATTGCACAGAAAGTACTATTTGGAAAGCCATAAAAGCGGAGACCCCAGTTTTCTCGCTCTGCCGTCGGTGACACTCCACCGAACCGGCTGCGGGCTCTGTCCCCCTTCCCGCTTCACCCTCTGGCTGCCCTCGCCCAGCCTCGGCAGCCGGCACCCTCCGGCCCTGCGGACTTGCGCCAGGGGTCCGTTTTCTTTTTTTTTTTTCCTTTATTTTTTTTTTTTCCCGTATTCTTTATTTTATTTTTTTTTTCCTCCTATAGCATTTGAATGTATGGAAGTGAAAGAAAAGCGCGTCTCCTTCAACGTGGTCAGCCCAGATGTGCAGTGCTTGCGAGGCTCACCACTGAGCTGGAGCACTTGGGGAGTCCTCTCGCCAGCCTCCTCTTAATCTACCTGGGAATTATAAAAGCTGAAGGGGTTTAAACTGGTTTAAGTTAGCAAACTGCATTTAATTACTTTTACCACATCCTGTAACCTGAATGAAATGTATAATATTTAAGACTGGAAGAGTTTTATAGTGTTTATGATTCACTGAATAAATATTTGGAATCCGAACTCTTAGTAATTCATACCCAGTTTTAAGAACTGGATATTTACTGTCGGGTAAAGGAACTAGTTAAGAAAATAGCTAAAATAATCAGTGTTCCTGTCAACTCATCTTAGAGTTGGGGTTTTGTTTCAGATTTTTCTTTGGTTGAGTTTTTCTGGCTTACTATTTTCATATTTGAAGAAACTTTTACATTTGCATTTTATTACGAATGAATTGTTTTTAGAATAGGTGTGAATATAATGCCGACTTCAGAACAACAGAAAAAAAATCCCCCCTCCCCAATATTTGTGGCCTTGAGGGAGAAATAGTCTCAGCTTACTTTACAGTAATCCGGTATTTAACTTTTTTCCCAAAGAAAGTTTGTGCTACAAGCTACATGTTATAATTTTATCTTGCTATAATGAAATGCAATTGCAATTAAGTGGGTAACTGTATTATTTGGTGAATAGCCATTCTTATATGAGGGAAATCACAACTATCTTTAAAAAATGTGTTTCCTCCTGTAACTTATGTTAGAATATACAAACTTTTCAAAGTTTTTTAATGCGATTATAAGGGAAATTAAACTCTTTTATTGTGCAAAAGTGTTTTTTTTTTATGTGGAGTTGTTTAATTTTTCATGTTGCATTTTTAATATTATGTTATTTATACTATTAATTCATATGTTTTAAGCAACTTCTGTTATAGTTTATCCTTCAGATCTCCTGGGTTAGTTGTTGCCTTTTGCCACAATAGCATGTTTTCCTGTGTTTAGGAACCAACTGGTGAACCATCTCCTAAAAGACCAAGAGGAAGACCCAAAGGAAGCAAAAATAAGAGTCCCTCTAAAGCAGCTCAGAAGGTGAGACTATTAAAGGGAAAGAGTTACTAATGCTGTTTTTTCATCAGCTGGTAGGGAAAAAATCCAATCATTTAGGCTGTGAACTGTGAGGTTGGAACCCTTCTAATAATGGAAGCTACATAAAACATGAATTTTGCATTTTTAAAACTAGAATTATCATGAAGACCATAAGTACAGAACCTATAAGGGCATCTTGCTTTTTGAGTAGTGTACAGGTTAGTGAAATAACATGTGTTATGTTATATGATGAGAAACCATTGAGATATCCTGTATCTAGTAAGGAAATCAATATTAAGGATATTATTTTCTTCATTAAAATTTTTGCAAGAGGAAGATTAATTTCTTGCCCACTTACAGTTGTTACTACTACAGACCAAATCTGTATATTAAAGCTGAGTGCTTTGTCAAACATAGGTTAATTAGAGGTAAATCCAATTATGTGTTGATGGAAATAAGTGCATATACTGAAATTTACAGCTTTAAAATGTGATGCTAAAGTAAACTGTGAGTTACAGTAAAAGCCTGCTATATCTTGTTTAGTAATCAGTTTCAAAGAGACTTTTACTGGAAGTGCTATTAGTCTTCTGAACCACTACTTCTGCTTGATGATGGGAGCAAACTTTTATTCTGGTGGTTCTGAATGCATTTAGCTATAGGAGAAGCTCTCTGAAGTCACTGTATTTAGTGCATGGACTTGACATCACAAATACAGTGACTTAATTTTATTTGAATTGGGGAAAGCACAGCATTAAAAACCTATACTGTCAAGGCAAACAATACCACTCTCTAGGAAATATTTTAGGGAAGGCAAATAGTTGTATATAGTTGAAAACAAATATGGGAAATTTGTTTGTGTTGATAGTTATACAGCAGTTAGCACTAATTTACAGGTACTAAATTGGAAACAAAAGCTTACAAAATCTAGTAGTGAACTGTAGAGCTTACTCGTATCAGTATCTTTTAAGGAGGTCTGTGACAAAACCTGTGTCAAAGGTATTTGTGTCCTCATCTAATTATGGTTCAATTGCCTATGGTACTGTCCAGAATTAAGTTTATAGTTTTCAGTGTTATAAATTACTATAGCAACTACTGATAAATATCTAATCATTAGGAGGTGACTATGATTTCATGTCTGTTTTGTCTAAAATGTTTTCAACATTTGTGTGAATTTTCCAACTCTTTAAATTCAGTTTTTTTAATTTTTTTTTAGTTTCTGGGCTGGAAAAAAACCCAGTATATTCTATCAAGAAATTAACGAATTACTAAAAAATGCTTTACAGGTTAAGTATTTAAAATATGTCAAAGTCATTCTTCAAGGTAACGTGCTTAAAATGTTGGGTTTTTTTTCTTTATACCATAAAAATATTCCTCAGATGTACTTTGAAATAGCTTAAATGTCACTCTTGAGAAGAGAGAGAGCATTTTTTTTTATTAGTCTAGCAAATCCAAATGTGAGCTTTAGTATTTTGAATATTACTCCTAGGAGTGTTGACTTTCTAGGAGAAATATTTGTAATAAGATTAGATTTTAAGTAATTCATAGAAATGTGTTTTAAAAATATTCTTCCAAAAGAAATATTAACATTGTTTCATTTACATAGTAATTTGGAAATCAGTATAAATGGAAAATAACTTAAAACATTCATATATGTGTTGGTTTATCAAGTCAAAAGTTTTCCAGATGATTTTGGTACATAGTTGTGTTTTCTTAATCTAATTTACAAACTGAGCAATTTCCTTATAACATTTTGATTTTCAGAATGCATCAAGTTACTGCTGTAATTAAAGCAAACCCTTTTGGGTGTTGCTAATGTAAAAAATTGACCAAAGACCACGTCTTTTTTTATAATAAAAAAAACTTTGAGGAGTATATAATTACAAGTCTTACTCGTTTCTGGGTTTGTAGATAAAGTATATAAATGTTTGATAAATCCTCTAAAACATAAAACACTTATAAAGCCTTACTAGAAGAAAGCGACTGGGATCCCATTTCAAATAAATATTTTAACTCTTTTTCCAAATTGATAATTGACCCTCTCTAAAATGGTTTGGCTTCTCACCAGGCATCTCAAAGTATCTTTTAATGTAATATTAATTCCAATAGTTTTTTTAACAGTAATATGCATGGGAATGTTTTGGCACTGTAAGAAAGCTTCATTTGGTGGTGAGGGTATCACCTCTAAAAAGAGTGAGTTATATGTTTGATTTTGTGCTAAACATATTTATACATACATATGCATACATAAATTTATTAAGATTTTCTCCAGCCTGTCTCAACTCTGAGAAGGAGAACTGTCTATCTTAGCTTAAGCCCCTCTACATTTGAACCTGGGTGTACTATACACCCAACTGGAATTTGCTGGAATTTCTAAAGAATAGTGTGTGTTTCAAAGGGAGCTCATTGAAATGCTTTAGAGTGTTCACATGTTAGATAAACGTTGACCAGGAGAACCCACCGAGCAGCCATAAGAAGGCACTCATGATTAATTGATTGGGTGTTCTCTTGCAAAGCATTACACATCACAATTAAAAATGTATTGCACATTGGCAGTGAGTTAAAAATACTCCAGAACTGGGGCTTTGTTTTGCTATACTTCAGAAAGGAAATACCCTTAAATCAGTTGATGGACAATTTACCCTGAAATCATGGTAATGTTGTGTATTTAAAATTTCTTGGTAGACAGGATTTTTCTGGGGTTTTTTGTTTTTGTTTTTTTTTTAAGCTTTCAGAGCTTATGTTTGGTCTTAGTAAACTGGCCTTAGGGCATCTGAAAACAAAGTGCTTGGTAGGAAATTAGCAGTGTGAAACTTGACAATGCATACAGAATGTTGCAAAACTAACTGAACAGCTAATAATGTGGCAATTACTCTAATTTTAGGTAATATGCCTTTTTTTTTTTTTAAGAATTGCATATCACACATGCCTAACTTGTTATAAATTGGACACAGAAGGTAAGCTGCGTTTTATGGAAGACCAAACCATTTCTCAATTGTTTAATTTTCACAAACAGAAGGAACAGAATGTGTTAGCAGATGAGAAGAGATAGATACAAAAAGATTCCTGATCACCTTGCACTTGAGTCCCCACAATTGGGTTGTTATTGCAGTCTATGTCTTTAAAGAAGTTATTCTGTTATTAATTTAAAATATTTGTAAAAAAATACCAAAACGTGAAGTGGGTTTTTTTTCCCCTAAAGCACAACTAGTTTTCCAGGAAGATGCTAGTGGGGATCTTCCTTTTTAATTTCCTGGGTGTTCTGTATTTGAGTTTTATGTATTATGCTGAGCTGGGTTCCCAGCCCATCACATTTCCCTTTCAAGGGCTTTTCTTTCTTTAGCTAGTGTAGTTTGGCTTGGCAAAAATACTGTATAGGCATAAATACTCTCCTACTTGGAAGCAGGAAACACATTTGTGAGGTCAAAAAAAGAAGCGATAGATACCATGTTTTTGTCTTTCAAGAAATTGTCAAGGGATATCCCAGGAAGATCTAATGGTAAGAGCTCTCTGGTAAAATTTACCTTCAGTTAAAATATGTTGAGTTTTGTTGTAGTTATTAATGTATTGAGGTTCACTGACAATACTTACAGAGTTTGATAGATCATTTTCTGAAAATGAGAACTTGTGATCCTGTGTGTGACTACACTTGCTACTGTCTCTACATTAGTCTCTACATAACATGGCCAGAGTTTGGTATGTAGAAGTGCATGTCCCTGGGTTAAGCAGTCCAAAGGTAAAAAAAGAAAACAAAAAAACAACAAACAGAAAACCACCAAACCAGAGAAGTGCATGTGACCAGAACCGTGCCCTAAATTCATTCACAAAAATCTAGTTGGCTTCTCTGTGCTTCATTCATTTTCACCAAATTAATCATTACAGGTTTAGAGGGAAAACACGATCAGATTTAACAAGTGATTGTAGCATGGTTGTTGCACTGAAAAAAGAAGAGAGATCAAAATCAGGTATTCTGAGCAAGATGGTGAAAGCAAAAGACTCTTGCTTAAAGTGGATAAAACTGAACATGGAAAGTGTGATATTTTTGTGTTTAGCCAATACCTAAGGTTTCTTTAAGAGTATTTTTTTTTACCGAATAACTGGGGTTTTTTTGAGAGGGACATGTTTCTGTGCAAGTCTTTTGACATGATTTAAGGATGATCTTCCTCCCAAACTCTCGCTTATTTCACCTGACTTACAGCTCTGACACATTTTGTTTGAGATCCCAGCAGATCAGTTTGCAAAGTGGATAGAGTTCTTCAGATTTGGATTCTGTTGCACTTGAGGTCTTCCTTGACAATGGATGATGCCCAAAAGAGCGCTTTATAGCCATTCAATTATTTATACTTGTCTTGTCTTGTTAATTGCTTTCAGTAGTACAGCCTCAGTTTCTGCCTGGGCACAGCACAGTTTTGCAACAGGGAGGCAGAGATGATGGGCAGTCAAGTCCGAGGGTTGACTGGAGCTATTTGTAATCAGGGTTTGATAGACCTGTGGTACAGGGCTTAGGTGGATTGCAAATCTGCCTGGGAACTGTTAGCTCGCTTCCAGACAGCAGTAACTGGAATGGTAATCTTTCTCACCTGGGACAAATAAAAAACATTTCCCATATGGATCATGCTCTTAAAAGTGGATATAAAGAATAAATTTAATTCTGTTCCTAAAATGTGACATACCAAAATCGTTGTATTCATATTATTGTTTATAAGAAATTTCATATTTTTTCATGGAATATGTTTTGTGTTTGATAACATACTCAACCCTTCTTTAAGTTTGGTGATTTCACGTCTTAGCTGTATGGAGCAAGGTCATGCCTCATAGTGTAGCACCAAATGTTAAAAAAACCCTGACTAAACACCACCTTTGAGTGGCCTGGCACTCTCTCTGGGTTTGCCCCTAGCTTCAGAGGCAACACTTAATCAAAGCAAAGAGCCGACAGACTGGTATGTTTCTAATGATGTAAATACCTGTGCAGAGGAATGGCAGTGTTTTGGCACTTATGTGTTCCTTCTCTTAATTGAAAATTATATGGAGAAACATTGTATTATTGATCTGATTTGCAGTAAAACATTTCTTCAAGTGCTTAAATTAAAAGACAGTCTTGTACTGTTGGAGAAAATACGAACTAAAAAACAATCCAGAGGGAAAAAGTTAGAATATTTTCCTAAACTTCATGACTTTATCATTACCACAGTACTGGCACTACTCCTTTTGGTTGTTCCAGAAGTGTTTTGTCTTTCTCTTTTCTTGGAAAGGAGATACAAACATCCACTTTGGAGGTTCTTGTCATTCATTTTCTGCAGTTTAGTCTGTGAAAACCTTGCTTTTTGCTTACAGAATTGCTCTGTACCAAAACATCATCTCTGGCATGCCTGACGACTGTTTGCTCAGCTCACCTCTGGGAAAGATTTAATTTTGATAAAACTATGGAAATATTTTTCTTCTAACATGAGGTAGAAGTGATATACAGCAGGAATTTAGTGCCTTTCAATTGAAAGGTCCCCAAGCACTTGACAAACTGATATCCAAACTAGCCAGGAGGAACACTAGCCCGTTCTGACATGGACCTTCCTCAGTGGTAAAGCGCAGCACTGCTCGTGGCAAGTGGCAACACTGTGTAACAGTTTATGGCAGGAAGCAAAGATTAGTTATTCAGAGAAATCTCTCATGTTCTCTTTCCAGAGACTAGATAACTAGATTGTGTGCTGTAGTTGAAGTTACAATTTGTGTCAGGTTTGTAGGAACTTTAATTGTGAGATAAAGTAGTTTGTGTTTCCAAAAAGTTAATTATTTTTTAATAATTTGGTTTTAATAGAGTTTTGGAAAAGGATCTTTCCTTCAGATGTGGTAATACACAGAAGAAAATAAATGGCATTAGTGCTTTGATCACGTCAGGTGTTGATTTGTTAAGAACAATTTTAACCAATATTTTCTTTTAAAATTTATGTCCAGTGTTTCATGAAGTAAACATAGATGCAGGGGGCTAAAGCTTATCAAAACTAAATCACATCTTTTTTTTTGCATCCATCATGTTACAAGGTATAAAGAAATGAACACTTACAGGAAACAAAACTCTGAAATAGACAGCTACAGGATATAGTAAATGCACTTTAACAAGTATTCTCATAAGAGGGTTTCACCTTACATGTAACACTGGTATAAACGATTAAAGCTCAAGTTTACTCTTTTAACAAGTCTGAGTGATAATTTTGCCCTTTAGGAGTGTGAATTTTATTTTTCACAGCTTTCTTATTGGCAGGGTATTTATTTCAAAGTAATTGTGTTTAACTCACAGGGCAGTTTTTTTGTAGAGATTCCTCCACTAGTTCCTCAGCTCAGGTTCTCTTTTAGAGAGATCCAATTTACACAGCATTAGGTTACAGTATATGTTACAGAGATTGACCAGCAAGTGATTTATTTAATGGCACAGTTGATTTTTAAGGGCAAATCAAATACACACACAGTGAACTGGAGGAAAAGAAAAGCAATTCACGTGTACTAGAAGTCTTCATTCTTGGGGACTTCGTATGTGGCAAATTCTGCCCTGACTAAAGGTAGTGGCAAAATCCTCATCTCCCTCAGTGGAACAGGATTACTTACCTGATGGAGTGTATGGATGGGCATAGCTTATGTAGAGAAAATAACCTGAATTTTTCATTTTAAACTCTGTATGTATTTTAGTGTAGTGCATAAGTACTAGTATTAGTTGTAGTACTATTCACAATGTCACAATGTAGATTAATGGAAGAGTCTGTAAGAGGACTTTTTCTTTACGCTGAGCTCTAGGAACAAGCACAGGCCTTCCATAAATACAGCTGTCACTTTTAGGGACCCTTCCATGCTGTTTCCTTAAACCTGGAAAGGAAAGGTGTGTTTTGGACAGTAAAAGTTTCACTTACAGCTTAAGGATGTGCTTTTACCTGGAAAACTTCAAGTGAAAAGTAGAGAAGTTATTTCCCACTATGAACACAGACATATTCATGGTGATATTTTGTCTAATCCATTTCATGCCTGAACATAATGAGACTAAAAAAGGAATTATAGCTGCTATAAACTGCTTTGACCAGGCTTGAAACAGGCAGTATTTTTAATTTAGTAACTTCAAGTACTTTTTGATAGCCTGTGAAAGACTAGATTTGATGCTTCTGGGGTTTCTCAGGTTTCCAGGCTGCCCTGTGTCCCCATCCTCAGCCTGCACGTTCCATGGCTGGCCTAGGCTCAGGCACACCAGGCTCTACTGTGGGCACTGAGCAGCTGTGTGTGTGTGGCCACACTCCTCCATGCCCTTCCACACGGTGTGGATTAGGGCTGGGGGCACCCTTGGGTGCTGGTGAGGCATCACCTGGCCACACTGGCTAAGAAATGTCAGTAAAACTGACATAATCACGTTCTACCAGAAAACACATAGATTAGGCAGGAGGCCTAGTGCCACCCAAGAGATATAATTGTAGCTAATGTTACAGGAAAGGAATTCCTAGTTACTGAGGCTGTTAAGTAATGCTGAGGTATAAAATATGCTGTGTTTCTTTTCCCTTTACAGGGAGCAGAAGCCGCTGGTGAAAAGCGACCCAGAGGCCGACCCAGAAAATGGGTAAGTATTTCACTTCCAGATTTATTTACTGTATTATAAACCATGTTATTAAGTCCATTCTTTTAGAGAACAATAATTTCTGTTTCATTTGTAAAAAAAGAGCATCCATCTTCTGTGTCTGTTCTGGTGGATTGACTGAAGGGTTAAGATAGCAGAGAAGTTAACCACAACTTCCTACCTTTAGACTCTAGTAGTTTGCTCAAGACACTTTACAATTAAATGTTTGCTGGGAGTGAATGTTTATGTGTCTCTTATCAGCATGAAAAGAGGCACAACTCTTCCTTCAAAAGAGAGTAACAATGAGATAACTTGTTCAGTAATTGAGTAACGAAGGTTAAAGGAGCACTATCAGACATCAGAAGGTGATAAGATTCAGATGTAGTGTGCACAAGCTAATGTTTAAACCCAAAATATCTTTGTCCTACCTTGCCTGGAAACATGCATATTTTCCTTAAATCCGGCAAGAAAGACTACAGATGAACAACAGGATACTTGCACTTAGAATTTATTTTTTCCATTCAGAGCTGTTTTCATGCCTCATATATTTGTAGTGACTGGTAATACATTTCATTAAAAGTTTCCACTTTCCCTGGCCCCATTTAGTCTGTAGATGTGTCTATCAGACACATGTGTTTTTATTCTTTGACCGTGTAAATATTTCAGTCTTGGATACTTGAAATTCTGTGTTTTCACTGATGTTTACAGCTAATGAGAGTCTGCTTAGTGCAGCTCTTATCTCCATGTCTTTTCCTTATGCATGAGCTTTCATAAGAAAAGTGATTGGGGATGTCACTTGGAAAACATGATTGGATATTAGAAGATACGAAGGTGTGGCTGTGTGCTCCATCACACATTAACATTTCTGATTTCCCTTTTCCAGTTCCCTTTCCCTTTAGCTGGTCAACATTCTTCTTTAAACTTCTTTTTCAAATCCACCCCCACCCTCTCAATTTTAATCCCTTATTTCACTCTGCATTCTCTTTCCTCTCTGCAGTCCTGTCATTTTCCCCTCATTTTGTTCAGTTGTTTTGCATAGCTTTTACAGAGCTGTAAAGGTATATGCTTGGAAGAGCTCAAACAACACCAGAAGGTACTGAAAACTACAGCTGAATAGTATCAGCAGCTGAACACAGGAAAAGTTGGCTTTAACAGTTGCTTAAAGACCTAGTAGTTCCATAGTGTTGTCCAGTGATAAAGTACCCCAGGACATTTCTTTGGAGAAAACAGACCACTGCATACTAGATGAGTTGCTTACACCTGTAGTTTTCAAGTCAGGCAGTTTTCAGGTATATGAAGAAGCTCACTGGCATTAGAAAAAATGATGGTGTATCAAAACATACCTGTGCTGGTGATCCTCTTGTAAGCAACTTGCAGAAGGCAAATGCCAAGTACAGTAAAACATGGATCAGTTCCTGTCTGCTTCCTCCCGTCTGGCTCAAACCTTGCACATGTGGATGCTGAGTGTTGCTTGCTTGATCTTCACCCTGGGTGCAATCCCAGGGAAAACAGACTCTAGTCTATAAGAGTAAATAATTTATAACAGTCAGGCCATCCCCACTGGATTGGGAATGTGTGACAGGTGAATAGGAATGGTTAAATGGTTTGGGGAAGAGGGAAAAGGCAGCAGTCTAAAGTGTTAAAAAGATTTTTCTCTTCCAAGCACTCATAGTCAGAAACTAAGGTGAGTTTTCAGTGAAAAGGGCTAAATATAGCGCTTGTAGCATCTTGTAGGCTAGAATGTTTCCCTTTTTTTCTTCATGGGGAAGAAAGAATGGGCATTGTCAGTGGAGCATTCAGTATGGAATGGGCTGTTTGTCAGGTGAGGAATCTGTTTTGCAGAAATGGGAATTACTAGTTATCTAGTAGATATATGCATTACTTTACTGTGAGACCAATACTTACAACAGTTTTGTTCATTTTTTTGAAACTAATGCATATTTTAAAACTCGGTATTACTTTGCTGTTGTACCTGTTGAAAGTGTAGTCTTTTTTTCTTATTCCAACTATATGATTGCTTCTTGTGATTTTCGGAGATAATGCTCCTATCTGCAGCTTGCATTGAGATAATTCTACAGACCATGATAATCAAATACGCTTTTTCCTTCCTCTCTTTCTTCTCTCTTTCCAGTATAAATTAAGTTCATGGGTTCCTTCTCTGTGCATGACAAAATGGAGAGTGATGTTATATTTTCCTCCAAAGAGAAATGTGGTTAAATTATTATAAGCCACTATGGTGCCAGCTATAAGCAGAGTTTATATTTGAAATCAAAGGAGGATTCTGCCCGAAAGCAGATGGCACAGAATCATCCTTTCTATTTAGACATCCAACATGTACTCTGAAAATGTCACTTTTTATCACCCATACTTCAGTTGAATTAATGATTATATTCTTCTTAATCCAATTTATTTGTGTATCAAGCCTTAATGATGACAGTTCAGTATTAGCGAAAGTACGGTATGTAGGTGGTTTGTTTTTTTTTTTATTGGAGAGGGCAGAATTCTACATGACAGGTATTTTCCTAAGTTTGTAACCCTTTTTTTGAGAGTCTAGAGGTTCTGTGTCATATGTTGTTCATCAAATTGTAAAGTATTATTTCTGCTATTTCCTTCAATATGCACATGCGGAGAGGTATGAGCTAACAGACCACTGTAGAATTCCGGTAGCTGGTCTTTCTGCTGGTTCAAATTAAGTATTTAATGTTTGTGACTCACAGTATATTTATTTATGTATTATTTTTTAGAAGAGAAGTGAATCTTTTTGACTAGTATAAAACTGAGAAGGGGGAGGGAGAGCCCAAGTGAAGAGGGCGAGGATCCCAATTTATCGCAAGCATATGAGACATCAGATGATCTTTTTAATGCAATAATGTGTACTTTGCAAAGTTGTCAAAGGAAAGAAGACAATAGAAAAGATAGTAAAGATCGACAAAATCTTCTGAAAATAAAATATTTAACTACATAGAAAAGCCTTCTAAATGTGGAGAGCTAATTGAATAAAAGTCCTGAAGATAACAAGGTCAAGTAGGTGGGAAATGAACATATTTGGAAGAAACACAGTGCCTGCTGCTTTAAAACTGATCTTCACTGTAGGTTGCTGCACACGTGAAATGCACTGAAGGCTGTGAGTCCTGTTACCTATTAACCCTCTTCATGGGGACCTTGGTACTCCTTAATTTTAGATGTTTTATTGCACTAATATATTCTGGGCTCTTTGGATGTATCTGCGTTAGTGTGTTAGGTCAAGTCATGAGTGTGCTTTGGAAATGCATCTCCTAATTTTCCCCACTTACTGTATACATTGTGTAGCAGTCCCAGAGCTTGTTGGCTGGACTACTTTCAAATGAAACAAAATTGGAGGATGTGCTGCAGAAGTGCAGTCTGGTAGACATTCAACCCATAGAACTAGGCTAGAGTGAAATAAAAACCTCTAGAAAGGTGCACAGTGTGGAACTTAGGTCCTCAGCACCAGCCTTTTTATCTCCTGTGGTCCATATTGTGGACTATAGCCTTTGATGGTTGAAAGAGGCTATGAAGCAATCTGGTTTTTATTAGCAGAATTATTTTATGTAGCACAGGCATAAAGTCAAATTCATAGCCATGGAGATTCACATTCCCAAAAGTCAGTGGAGGGTTTGTCATTGACTTCATCACTGCCAGGTGTTTGCCACTGAGGTCTGATGCTGCTGCTTGTGAAATCAGCAACGGTTTTGCTCACGGCTTCACATAGCCCTTTGTAAAGTGCCATCAGAGTTTTTTTATTTTATTTATTTAATTTGTGTATGCCTGTAATTTCACTGAAAGCAAGGGGCTGAAGGTTTATGAGTAGATCGGGAGACTAAGTAATCAATTACTTTGCTGTTTGTTCCAAAGAACTACGTCTAAAAGCTCTGGAAATCTCATAGGCTTCTAGTGCTCTCAGGCATCAGTTTAATGGAGAAACCTGAAACCTAGTTCTGAAGTTGATGCTTAAAAGAGTATTTGTTTTTAATTTGCAGTGTTGGTGTTATGTCTTTAGGTAGAATTTTTGGGCATTTCCACATTGTTTAAACTGAGCCACAGGCTCTCTGCATGGCATAGCACAATTGCTCCAACCCTCCAAGGAACAGTTCAGAGTTTTTATAGCCTTGAGCAGGACTTGGGTGAGGAGGAGAGATGGCTGATGCCATGCCATGTAGCTGTTTTAAAGGACGGATAGATGAAGATATAGGATCTGCATGATTGTGACAGCAGAAGATAGTGACTTTCTTGACCAGTGATATGCAGGATGTGTGTGAAGTATCCACTTGTGCATCTCATCACTGATGCCTAAGTAGCAACTGTGACTTGATCAGAAAATTTCTCTCTCTTTCAGTAATTTTATTTTCTGGTAGATTGTATATATAGCACATTTCCGGTTGGTAGAAGATAAAATATAATCAGAAATTAACTTAATTTTCTTAAGCAGAGGCTTAATCTGATCCAGTCACAATCATCTAGACAAGCTGAGAGCCTAGAGAAGAGAAGCCTTTGAGCAGACCTTAGAGCAGCCTTCAGTACCTAAAGGGGGCTACAAAAAAGCTGGAGATAGACTTTTTACAAGGGCCTGTAGCAATAGGTCAAGGGGGAATGCCGTTCAACTGGAAGAGGGTGGGTTTATGTTAGGTATTAGGAAGAAATTCTTTACTGTGGGGGTTATGAGACACTGGAACAGGTTGCTCAGAGAAGCTGTGGATGCCCTATCCCTGAGAGTGTTCAAGGCCAAGCTGGATGGGGCTCTGAGCAACCTAGTCTGGTCAAGGGTGTCCGTGACCATGGCAGGGGTGTTGGAACTAGATGATCTTACAGGTCTCTTCCAACCCAAACCATTCTATGATTATAGTAATTTTTGAAGCTTTCTTTTTCAATGAGGGCAGAATTTCACTTTATACAGAAAGTCAGTTTAAGCAGTGCCAAACCACATTTAAAAAATCATTACAAAAATGCTTTTTTATAATAAATTTTTCTTCAGGTTATTTCCCAGT